AAGCCAGAAAATATTTTTAAATTGTAAATTTTTTTTTTTTTTTTTTTTTAGATAATAATGGTTTTAGTGATACAAGTTTTACTAATTAACCCATAGCTAGAGGAGGAGAGGTGGATACATATCTTTCTCAAGGGTATTTGTATCTAAGTGAACATAATGAACCAGATTAGAATTGGAACTTATCTCTCCCATTAACAGTTGTACTAATTAACCCTATAGCTGGAGGGAGAAGTGGATTCATGCCTTCCCCAAAGGTATTTGTGCATAAGTGAATATAAAAAAACCCAATGGGAATTGAAACTTGGCTCTCTGATTAACAATTTCAAGCCATTATGCATTATTACACCATCTGTATATCCAAGCTTACAGTGCTTTATATTCTCAAGTGGTTATCTATCTTGATACTAAGTTTGACGTTTCTTAACTTTGATGATTCTATAGGAACTCATATTAGTGAAGAGTGTCATTTCTTTTGGTAGATTTTTATAATTGTGTAATGCATATGATTTTTAGTCTAAGATCATTGGCAGTCATGAAGTGTGTGTGAGAGAGAGAGAGAGACACACAATCTTAATTGCTCATAAAGTGTTTTTTTTTTTTCTGAGTCAAAATTTTTACAAGTGCTTATTTATATCTTCTGCAACATCATTAAGTTGAGTATTTCTTTTTGACATTTTCCTTTGACAATAGCCTCTTCTAACTATTTGGTTAAAACAGATGAAGCTATTTTCAAGAAAAAAAAAATTTGCTTGTAATGAATGGCTGACATAGTTTGCATTTTATAAAAAGATCTGAATTTTATCTGTTTACTAATTCTTTGGTAATTTAAAATAATAATATTACTCTAATATTCAGCAGTTATTTCTCTTGCATAAGATAAATGCTACTTAAAGTTAACATAGAATTCCCTGAGCAGAGAAAGTTATTTTTTTTCGTCTCATTTCTTACACTCTTCCCAAAACTGTTGTACCACAAGCAATGTAGAATGAGAAGTTTACACTGAGTCTTAAACTCCAGTGTTTTATCCTCGTTAATCTTGCCTGAGTAAGCTGCCTTATTGATTATTCCACAGAGACCAAATGGGTATATCAGTTAAAGTCTACCATATGTTGGCATACAAGGCAACCTTTTAACCTTAAACCCCCGACCCCCAAATATACTCCAGGTATAAAATGTGAACCTTAAATCCTATGGTTTATGGTAAGTTATTAGCATGGAAGATTTTTTTATGCTAGGCTAACTCCTGCCTCACCTTTTTTTTTTTTTTTTTTTTTTTTTTTTTCTCTCATCAAGCCGTTTAAAGAATGCATTTGAGAATGGTGGAAGGAATGGATGATTAGTGGGAGAAAAGTCATTCAAGTTACTGTAATGGGCTACCGAAAACATAGCACCCACTCATGGGCTATTGTAGATTGTGGTTAGTTCTCCCCACTTTTCTTCATTAGAATTTGAGTGGAAAAAGTATATGCTTACTGAATTTATTTAATAAATTCAATACATTTTAAAATATGATTTGGTTGGGGGAGGCATCTTGTATGGTGAATATAGCCTGAAATCTACATTTTAACTTGAAAATGTTGGGGTCATCTTATACATCCAGTCACCTTGTACACCACCATATGCAGTAATCAAATAGACTTAATTCATTATTTCAGATCAGTGATCTTAATTTCTGTGGAATGAGTTTTAGAAGTTGTATTAAAAAGCAATAGAAATAAAATGAATTAAATACTAGACAAAGAGGGCCTTTTGGTTTGGAAACTCTGTATTCCAAATCCTGGCTTTTACCTGTTTAAATGCTGATGACTGACACTTATAGAAGATATGCAACTATTTAATACATGAAATATAAAATATTTATCGATTCATTCATAGCATTCTCTTAACTTCAGTATAATGGATCAAATTCTTCCCCTGAGTAAGCTTTGTTTTCAATGTGCTGGTGTGTATTTGGGTGAGTGAGAGAGGTTATGAAAGTGTTCAATTTTGTGGAAAAAAGAATTTGATTTTCACTGTCATTCCATCTATATGTTCCTTAATATATTTTCCTAATTAGTAAATTAAACAGAAATTTATACATGAACTAATAATATGCATCTATATTGTTTATATAAATGAATTTATTGTAATATTAATCTGTAATGAAAAACATGGTTGATTTCACCCAAATCTCATTAAAACCAATTAACAACAGTGCCATCTCATTAATGACTCTTGATGCCTAACATATTTCTTCTCTTCATTTTTTTTTTTTTTTATAATTAAGAGTAGGATTTTCTTGTTGCATTCATGTAAACAGTCATGGTTCTCCACAGCAGCTGTTTTGTTTAAAAACTGTTCATTGCCATGATTGATATTGGGGAATAGAGTGATTTCCCATTGCTTTCCTTTTTAGTTTTGGATTCAGTTGCTCTTTTTAGCCTGATCACCAGTTGGGTCTTGAGAACCCTGTCTGATCTTTAGTTTAAACCCATAGTTGGGGGTGGAGGGCATTAGTGACAATTTGTTTCAGCTGCTAAAATTTTATTTCCGTACTGTTAGTTCATCTACCCCTTTCTCAAGGATTTCATTTGCATTCCTTACAAAACAATTTTCATGGCAGCATATTGGTCGAATATTAGATGAAATACTAAGGCTATTTTGTAATGAGAATTCTAAAATCGTTCTTTATTCTTGGATAACTCTAGAGACGTAATTTTGTTGGCTAACTTGTGTTCTTAAAAGTACATATGAAATCTTTAACTTTAAATGAAATGCCTTGAAAGGGCAAATGAATTCAGATCAAAGCTGTAACATTTCTTATTCGAATATCTCCCATTTTCGGCAGTATCTTTTTGGAGTGGATGAGAAGGAAGTCATGGGAAAAGAGATGGGAATCTTTGAAGATCTTTATTATGCAAAATGACATTTAAAACTGTTTTTTTTTTTTAAGTTGTACAATGTTACTACTTGAAACGGATGCGTTAATAATAGGATTTCGTTTTTAATGAAGAACAGAACATTTAACTCGAACCTTTTCAGTCATTTCATTTTTTTCTTTCATACTTTTCACAAATAAATGTTCATGTATTTTTTCTTTCTTTTAGCCTTTTAGATTTTAAGTTTCGTGTTATAACTGAACTGTTTTAAAATTTAAAACAGACTTTTTCTTGTGATGAATGAAAATACGTAAAAAAAAAAAAAGTTAGCACCAAAAAAGCGTTGGACTTCACTTCATAAACTTTCCTTACCTCCTCTTTTTATGATATATAAAATAAGTTTTAATACTTTCAAAAATAATTCCGACCTTTTTTCAAAGTAACTTTTAGGATTTATTTAGAAACATTTTTCATTAAAAAAAAAAAAATTGTCATCATCGTAGGTCGGTTTAGTTGTCATACTGGATTTTTTGTCTTTAGCATTTCACTCAAGAAAATTACAATGTCCATCTATTACTGTCCAAGAGAGCAAAATTAATTTTATTTTTAATTACTTATTCTTTAAAAAAATATTTTTTTTTTTTTTTTTTTAATTTTATTTCACCGTCGTCTCCCTGTACACTTCTTCGAAAGAAAAATGCTTTTTAAGAAAATTCTGTTTTTAGTGGAAGAAATCTTCTCATATTCCCTTTCCTCTTTTATTTTTTCATTTGTTCCTCGGTGTTCCCTGTTCATTAAAAAGGAAGCAGATAAAAATCGAAAAAAGACCCTTTCTTTTTAACAGAAATATGGACCCTAAGCCACTTCCGGTTGACCTACTGGCTGGATTTGAAGTCTCTCTAAAAACACTAAACAGATTCGAGAAAAAAAAAATAGATGGTGGGGATTTCTTCATGTTTAACTCGACAAAAGTTCGTTTGGGTGTAGTCTTTTTACTTTTCTTTTCTCTCTTTACTGACATTTTTTTTCTTTTTTCATTTTTATCATATTTTAATTTATTTATTTTTTATTCTCTCGCCACCATTTCCTTTCCGCCTCACCCTTCAGGATGTTGTGATGTGTGGGCGTTTTTTGTAATAATCACTAATTTTCTGGGAATTTTGTTTTCTTTGTCTACTTAAAAATAAATAAAAATTACCAATACACTACAGACATATTTATGAATATTAGTTGTAAACCTCCCTTCTTTCAGTGCACAAAAATGCCCAAAATCTGCTTTTATTTATTTATTTATTTAGCCAATTCGGAAATAACTCCACCAACATTTAATTCTCAGATTCTATTGTTAAAATTTTCCTGGGAAATCTTTCTAAAAGGTTTATAAAAAGATAAGTTTTCAAAATAAATATTTTACCAGTTTGAGGTTGAAGAAAAGAAGCAAGATTGCCTTGATTTCATTTTGAATTTAAAAAATTTGCTCCTAAATTTAGTCTTGTTTGAAACAAGTTAACATTTCATAAATTGATGCAATAATGGTGGTAGGGAAGTAGTCAATGTCAGAAAAGAGAAAGAAAGACATTGTGTGCCAGGAATAGTTTTGGGAAATGGAAATTATTATTTATCAAAAATAAAATGAAAGTCTTTGATTTTTGTAATCAAGCCAATTTGCCGTTTTTTTGTTTTTTTTTAAGCAGTAGATATTGGATCATTGCATTGATTTATTACAGATAAAAAAAAGAAAAAAGCTTGCTATAGCAAAGAATATTGTCTGAATTTTTTTATTGATACTTTTTAAAATCTGATCCACTTGTTAAAAAATAGTCAAACTGACTAAACAGTGATTTGTACAATCTACAATTTTCGTGTTTTATAAAATAAAAGTTTTTTGCACATTGATGTCTCTTTGTTTTAAAATTCTTTTTGACCATTTATTTGAAAACCTATGCTTCTTTACAAAAGTATACAACATTTACTCAGCATAGCTTTATTTTGTCACACAGCCACAAGTATGAGTCACTCTGTGAATCGAGCTCACTAATGAATAATCTACAAGTTCAACTTACTAACCACTAGACCAAAATGAGACTCCCAAATAGTTATAGTGAAATCATAAAAGTGTTTGAAAAATCCTCTTCTGGGTTTATGGCCAAATCATGTTGAAATACCAATTCCTGTACGATCACTGAAGTTGAGCAATGTCAAGCCTGGTCAGTACCTAGATCGGTGACTGCTTGGGAATACCAGGTACTGTAAGCTTGTATATGTGGGTGATGTAACAGATAATGACTTGGAAATTGTTAATTTCTTGCAAAATATTCTATTCAGGTTCATTTCTTACTTTTTTTTTTTATTACTTATTTATTTTTGTTTAATACTAAGGCTTTTTCAGTAGAAGGCTGAAGAGACACTCCTGGTAGAGTTAGTGAATGTAAGAGGAGATAAAAGGAAGTGAAGATTATCAGGATAAGTTGGATAGGTAGCTATTGACCTTTGACTTGAAGAGGTTAACAGTGTGTAGTTTCAGGAAACATCCATGTGCAAGTAGCAGTTCCTGGGAATGAGTGGGAGCTGTTTAAGTGAAACTTCTTTCTTACAAATGGAATATATATCTATCTACATATATATATATATATATATATATATATATATATATATATAATTTCTAAAACCTGGAAATAAAAGCTACTATGATGGAAATGGTTACTGAGAGTTAGACAGGACAATAGAAGAACAGGATCCAAGGAGACAGAACATGACCATTAACATTTCATTTGCATTTGAATTTCTGAGGACCATTGCTGACAGAACAGCTGGACAAGAGTTCCACAAACAAAAAGAACTATTAGCATAGAACTCATGGTTGCAACTACTAATATCAACAGTGAAATTTTGAAACCTTAAGTTGAGGAATTCACATCAAAACAATTGCCTTGAAAATATTTCTAGAAGAGGAAAAAAGAAGCTGTTATGGCAATGGGGAAATTGGCTGAAGTTGAGATGCCAAGTCAGAACCAATAACATTTCTGATTCTTAGAATTTTTGTCAATCTCTAGTAGACTAGATGTGGCAGCAATATTTAATGCATGGATGACTGATAAACCTATGTGTAAGATAGATTCTGGTGAGAAAAATTCTCTAGAATGACACAATGAATCAATTTTTCTAGCAGCAGATTTAACAATTAATTCAACCTATTCATTCCACTTTATGTCCATGGAAGACATGAACCCAAGAAAGTGCAATGAGTTGCTCTCCTGGAGGTTAGCATCAGCCATGTTAACAGAAAGCAAAAAAGTTTAATAGTTTTGTTATAGAGGTATTAAAATTAAGAAGTCCTTTCTGGTCCCCTTAACAACAGATTGTAGGTAATTTTTTAGATTAATAGTTACTTACATTTTCTTGAACCTATCAGACTTGCTATTAAGTCGGGATTAAATAGTTGTCATCAGATTAGATACAGAGTTGGGAACTGATGACATCTGGAAGGTCATTGATGAAAATAAAGGATAGTGAGTTCAAGAATAGAGCCATGGAGGGATGCTCACATTAACACAAAAAGAGCTAGAGGAGTGGCCATTCAAGATAACTATCATTATATGGTTTGATAAGAGATTGAATGAAATCAAAGACACTGCCAGAAACACCGTAACCCTTCAACTTGTGAAGAATGCCAGTATGCCAAACCCTGTCAAATGCTTTTGAAATATCTAAAGCAACAGCCTCAGCTTCACTTTATATTGTTATAAAGGCTGAATGATAAAGGGTCTGAAATGTGGTATGGCATTTCTCTCAGCAAATTACCTAAAGTGTGTGTGGGAAGTAGGAAAGGGTTGAGGATGAATTAGTTGATCCAGAATTAAGGTTCTTGAAGTTCAGTTTCTGGTCTGGGTACCAGATGTGATCAAAAGAAGATACTTGAAGATAATGGAAAGAATAATTTTACTTGGAGGGCCTTTTTTTTTTTTTTTTTTTTTTTTTTATCTTGAATGTTAATAAGAGAGAAAAAAATGATAGAGAGTCTGACATGATATGCATTTTTTGTTATTGTAACAAAGAAAATTCTAAAAGAACTTCAGTATTTTCCTTTATGAATAATAAACTTATAAAGCCAAAGAATACAACAAATAAACCATTTGAAATATGATTTTCTAATCCCTTTCTCCACTTATTAAATTAATAATATTAATCCTATTAATTTAAAAACTTTCTTTGGGTTTTCTTCATACAAGGCAAGCAGGATTTTTTTTTTGTTTGTTGTTTTTCTTTTTTTTTTTTTTTTTTTTTTTTTTTTTTTTTTGTTTGTTGTTTTTCTTTTTTTTTGTTTGTTGTTTTTCTTTTTTTTTTGTTTGTTGTTTTTCTTTTTTTTTTGTTTGTTGTTTTTTTTTTTTTTTGTTTTTTTTTTTTTTTTTTTTTTTTTTTTTTTTTTTTTTTGTTTGTTGTTTTTTTTTTTTTGTTTGTTGTTTTTTTTTTTTTTTGTTTGTTTTTTTTTTTTTTTTGTTTGTTTGTTTTTTTTTTTTTTGTTTGTTGTTTTTTTTTTTTTTTTGTTTTTTCTTTTTTTTTTGTTGTTTTTTTTTTTTTTTTGTTTTTTTTTTTTTTTGTTTGTTGTTTTTTTTTTTTTTTTTTGTTTGTTGTTTTTCTTTTTTTTTTGTTTGTTGTTTTCTGAATATTTTTTTAAGTTAGATCTTCATTTCAAAATTTTTATTATTTCGTTATCAAATCCTCTATATTAATATGTAAATTAGCCAAAGTTGTGTGTGTGAGTGTATTAGTTATATAAAAATAATGAGGCAAGCAGCAGTGTATAATCTCTCTTGTAACCTCTTAGGAAAGGATGGATTTAACAGGGGCATTAGGGTGAAGAGCTTAAACTACTTGTGTTAGAATTTGAACTTTCTTCTCCGTTTCTATTTTCTTTTGTGTTATTAACTGTTATGCCAGCTGAGCACCTCCTTACCTGAGTCTTTTTTGTATCTTTGTTTAAATTCTTTTTCATTCTTTTTACATATCTACTTTCCATAGAGATTGTTTTATAGGCTGAAGAGTTTACTAAGACACTAGTACATTTTATGTTTCAGTCATACATCTCTTTATAAGCTCTTGGTAAATCCTCTAACATAAAGCAAGTGTCTTATACAGTCCTCAAACACTTGGAAAGTAAGTCATTTATCTTATAACAAAACCAAGTAGGATATCACTTAAGTATGAAATTTCAGACCAGGAAAAGGATTTTGTTACAACTATAAAACCCACTGAACTATAGTAACTAGCTTGTGATAGCATGTCTTAAGAAATTTTAGAGAGATTAATGTTCAGGCTTGTGGAACAAACGTGTTTTTTGTCTTTGTTCAATGATCACCAATTTTTTTTTATTTTTTTTTTTTTTTTTTTTTATAATCATTTTACTCCAAGCAAGGCAGGAATGCCACTAATATACAGTGGGTTACAGAGAGAGAAAGTGAGAGAAAAGACTGTTTATAGAGGGAATTAAGGAAAGGACAAAAGATGAATGGGATTCAAGAAGATAGAAGATGGCGATTGACATTGCATTTAAATTTTTGAAGATTGTAGATATCAGAGAAGCAAGTAAATGGAAGGGAGTTCCACAGACAGGAAGTGTGAGAAAAGAAACTGTTGGATTAGAATTAGCACTTACATTTAATTATTTCACCAGTAAAAGGGTGGGACCTAGATGCCAATCTAGTAATATGCTTAAATTCATGTAGTCAGGACACCAGAGGAAAAAAGTTTATCAGCACAATTGCCATGAAAATATTGACAATGTATAGTTGTACAATTTATGTGATTATTCTTACAGAAAAGATGCTTGCTCTCTCATTTTAAAATAGCTCTGATTCTTAAACATGGATAAATAAATGTTATCTTGGTAAATTTAAAATAGCTTTCCTGATTCTTAAATCAGTGGATATTTTGCTATAAATGTTATCTTGGTGGCTACACATGTTTGAGGAGATATTTTGTTTTACAAGCAAAATCTGAAATGAACAACTTAGATATATGTGAAAAAAAATCTCGTTAAATAAATATGTATATCTCAATGAAAATTGACTGGATTTTCAACAAGAGTAATCTTTATTTAATGGGCAAACAAGTAATTTTTTTAGAGATGGTGAAAAGTTCAATGGATAACAAGATTGGATTGAGAAAGATCAGATAATCAATGAGTTCAATATTCCAATCAAATACTCACTATCCATTACATTGTTATGTCATTTTTTTTTTTTTTTTTGTACTGGTTCATACCTTTGGGAAAAGTGGATTTAAATTCTCTTCTTTGAATCCAGTCATGGGTAAATAGCAGGGTAGACTGGGTTCTAATGAATTGGATGGCAACTGGTGTACCACATGACCAGCAGAAAGGACGAAATTGTATTATTTGTATTGCATGTAAATGGCAAAGAAATCAAACTGAAATATTGACGTGGATAAAAAATGAGTCTGCCCAGGTCCGAGTCTGAACACCAACTGACTTTTTGAAACAACAGTTTGTCGGAAAAAATCTAATTTGCATAAACAGTAGCTTGTATTAGACGAACGAGGGAGAAAAGGGAGGTGTCAAAAGTCATGTATCAAAAATGGATACATGGTTGGAATAATACATTATCCTTTTGTAACAGCTTGGATTGATCATACATGGAACATCCAACTCACTTGCTGAAAGGGAAAGGTATATATCATGACAGTGAAAAGTCCCAAGCCTTGGATGGCAAAATGTACCACAGAAAGAAATGGCAACTTAGAGGTCTCTTCATAGTCATGTAAAACATGGTTTGCTAAGCACACCATGAATAAAAGTTATATAGCTTTCCCAAAAGAGAAGGCTGAATCTCTATTTTAAATAAAAAAAAGAGAAGGGAATATTGCAATAGGTAAAAGTTATTTTTATGTCTAATCAGGTAGATTTTAATTCCACTGTTTGAATAAAATGGGAATATCTACTCAAACACATTTATAGTAATGAAAATAATATTAGTTTAAAAAAAAAAAAAAAGATCAGTCTACTAATTGCTTATATATATATATATATATATATATATATATATATATGTTGTGTGTGTTATTTTTAGTAGTTACTCATATTTGAGTAGATTCTACTTTTTTTTTTTTTCTTTTTATTAAAGTATATTTATTTTTGTCTACTGTTCTGAATATTCAAGAAGTCTTATTAAAGAAAAAATAGCTCTCTGGCAGGATTAACTAACTCTGTCTCAAAGAAGCTTTGCCGATCAAGCAAGC